TAATACTTATCTAAATCAATAAAGAAAAAAGTGCATATCAATTCCAACTGCTAAAAATAATTAGACTCATAATTTTAAATTATATCGTTTTATTTAATTTAATTTAATTTAAAATTTAAAAAATTATTTTATTAAGTATTGATATATTACAATATATAATAAGTTTTTAAATTTAAATTTCAACATTTAAGATGATAAAATTTTAATTTTTAAATATAAATTAAAATTTTAATTATTTTTAAAAATTCAAATTGATACGATTTCGTAAATAAAATCTCCAATCACCCTCAGTTCCGCTAACTTTAGATGGCAATGCCATAACAAAGTGACAAAGCCCTGGCCCAAGAAAACACATGGATCTCCCTTAAGCCCGGTACAAGCACAGAAAATAGTCCACCCACAATTGGGCAAAAATAAAGGGCAAAAACCAACATTGAGCCCCTCACCTTACAAAATTGGTAGGTTTTAGTCTCTCATTTTACAACATGACATTTTAGGCCTTTTACTTTACAAATTTGGTAGGTTTTAGTCTCTCACCTTACAAAATTGGTAGGTTTGAACCCTTCACTTTATATTAAGACATTTTTAACCTTTTACCTATATGAATTGAAGAAAATAACTTTTACCTAATATCATGTTATAATATTCTGTTAATTCTTTTAACTGACTGTTAATATTCGTTAGCATTTCGTTATAAAAAAACATGAAATTTAAATTCAATTTTATATGTTAGTTCCATTAACGGAATGCTAACGAATATTAATAGTCAGTTAACAAAACTAACAGTCAACTAACAAAATTGATAATCAACTAACAAAACTAACAAAATATTATAAACTGATGTTAAGTGAGGCTTATTTTCTTCAATTCGTACAGATAAAGAACTAAAAGTGTCATAATATAAGGTGAATAGCTAAAATCTACTAATTTTGTAAGGTAAAGAGTTAAAAATGATATATTATAAGGTTAAGGGTTAAAACCTATTAATTTTGTAAGGTGAGGGGCTAAAAGTTGGTTTTAACCAAAATAAAGGAGGAGACGTGCCGAGAAATGCCACCCCACGATCCGGTACATTTCCGGAACCGAAACATCCCGTGACCAGCCCGACGGACAATACGCACGAACTAAGAGTCTAAGACTCCTTGCCTTGGGTCAAATGTCAATTACTCAATTACAAAACCGAAGTCCCCCTCGTCCGCGGCCTCGCTCTTCCCGTTTCGATTTCCCACCCTCCTTGTGCAGGAAGCTACTGATTTTGCTCACTCCATCAAGATTTCTGCCTCATATTTTCAAAATCTCATCTTCTTGTGAGTTTCTTGATCTCCAGATTGCGTATTCTTTTGTAATCAAATATTTTTTCGATTCTTTAAGCAAATTGTTTATCTATTCCGTTGGCCAAGGAAATCACGAAAATGGATTTTTGAATGCAGTTTTTTTTTTTTCCCCTCCTGACAGATTTACTCTGCTCTGCTTCTCAGCTTCTGTTTAGGGAGGTATTGGACTGCCTTCTCTAAGCTTCCCTGTTTAGCTTCAATTGTAGAACTGAGATGATTGTGAGTGCTGTTTCCTTGTTATTTGGTTAAATGGGAGATAGATGAACGTGTGTTGCAAGAAGTTACTAGCCATTGTCTCACCATGGATGGCAGTAGACTTTGGATTCATTAATTCTGAGTTAAATATTCATCAAAACACATTCAACACAGTCCATTCATGTAACATAGGTCCCATAGAAGTAGCTCAGAAGAGTGATTTGTTGGAAAGGGTTTATGCTTGCAATCCTTCCTGACTACGAT